GGCACAGAGCAGGGGTGGGCGCTTGGATCCCACCCAGAGGGCAGGGGGCTGGATGTGGGGTGATGGGGCTGGAGGGTCCCAGCTCTGACCCCTCCCCATCCCGGAATTCCCAGCTGTCCCAGCCGCCAGGATTTCCCCCTGATCGAGACGGAGGCCGAGGCGTCCCTGCGGAAGCTGAAAGGTGGGGGTTGAGTCCCCCAGGACCCCCCTCCTTGCATGTCCCCCCAATCCCTCTGCCTCCCAAATCCCTGTCCCCCCAATCCCTGTCCCCCCAATCCCACTGACCCCGATCCCGGTCCCAGAGCGCCGGGAGCAGCTGGACCGTCAGACGGCGGCGCTGCAGGAGGAGAAGGTCGGGATCTTCGCGGACATGCTGGCCCTGGGGAGCGGCTGTGCCGACCCCCCCTCGGCCCCCCGAGTGACCCCATTCCCGGGGGACCCCGCCCGGGGACCCCGCGGGGACGCCCTGCTGCAGGATGCCATCCGGGAAGGTACGGGGTGGGATGGGATGGGATGGGATGGGGTGGGGTGGGATGGGATGGGATGGGATGGGGGGGGGGGGGGGGGGGGGGGGGGGGGGGGGGGGGGGGGGGGGGGGGGGGGGGGGGGGGGGGGGGGGGGGGGGGGGGGGGGGGGGGGGGGGGGGGGGGGGGGGGGGGGGGGGGGGGGGGGGGGATGGGATGAGATGGGAGGGAGATGTTCTGGATGTGGAAGCCAACGCAGGGGCTGGACAGGGGTCCTGTGCTGGAGGGGGGGGTTTCACACTGCCCTTTCCACAGTGGAGAGCCTGAAGGAGATTTTCATGGGATGTGCCCGGGATCGGGATCGGGATCCGAACCAGAACAACCCGCCCGAGGCCGAGAGCTGCCCCAGCCCCAGTGCCAGCAGTAAGGGGGGGTCAGGGAGGGGGGTTTGGGGGACCCCCAGGACACCCCTGGGGGCTGACCCGGCCTGTCCCTGCAGACGGTGACTCCGGCAGCTTCAACGGCTCCCTGGAATTCCGGGCGGATCCGGACGCTGGGCAGAGGGTGAGTGGGGGGGGGAACACACACACACACGGGGGGGGACCCTCGGGGACACCCCCAGCCCCTGCCGTGTGTCCCCCCCACGGTGTCACCAGGATCTCTCCACAGGACGGGAACGGGAACCAGGTCCCGCCGAGGGGACCCCAGGAGGTGAGGGGAGGGTCTGGGGGTGGGGGCGGTGCCTCAGTGTGTCCCCCCCCCAGGGGAACTCGGGGTTCACCCCCCAAAAAAAAATCCTATTGCCCCTCCAGGAGATCAATCAGCACTTGGTGAACCTGTACCGGCTCCTGCTGCGGCTCCAGGTGGGACGGGGGGGACAGGGATGGGGGGACAGGGATGGGGGGACAGGGATGGGGAGGGGGCACAAAGGGGCAACCCCTCCTCTGCCCCTTGACCCCCCTGTTTTCCCCCATTCCCCCTGCCCCACTGACCCCCCCGGTGCCCCCCCAGGTGGTGCAGAGCCAGCAGGACCTGCAGCTGGAGCTGCAGCTCTCGGAGCGGCCGGAGCGGCCGGAGCCGCGGCCCCGCCGGGGGTCCCAGCCGGCCGTGCCCGTCAGCGCCGCGCCCGAGGGGGGCACGGGGGGGGCCGAGCTGGCGCTGCTGCAGCGGCAGCACGGGCTGGTGCAGGAGGAGCTGGGCCGGTGCCGGGCGCTGTGCCAGGAGCGGGCGCAGGAGGCGGCGGCGCTGGAGGGGCGGCTGCGGGACAGCGAGCGGGAGCGCGCGCGGCTCGAGCGGGAGCTGCAGGAGGCGCGGGGGGCGCCGGGGGGGCCCCGGGCACGCAGGGCGGCCGAGCCCCGGCGCAGGAGCCTCCCCGCTGGTGATGCCCTGTATCTCAGCTTCACCCCCCCACAGGTGGGCACGGGGGGCACAGGGAGGGGGTTGTGGGTCATGAGTGTGTCTGGGCTCAGCCCAGCTGGATTTGGGGTGTGGGGAGGGGGTCATGTGTGACACGAGCGTGTCTGATCTCAGCCCCCCACACCCGGGGGGGTCACAGGGGCTCGATCCTGACCCCCTCTGTCCCCCCCCAGCAGCCCCCCGTCACCGTCTCCTTCCACCCCCCCCCCTTCCCCGGCCCCCGGGACGAGCTGGAATTCCGGGGGGGTGATCCCGACCGGCTGCGGGAGGGCGAGGACACCCTGGACACGCTCCTGGAGGACGAGGGGGGCCTGGGGACCCGCCACTCCCCCCCTGCCAGCCCCCGAGGTGGGTCCCTGCGTTCAGAGGGGGGGCAGATCCCGCCCTGGATTCCCGGTGTTTTTCCGGGAAGAGGGGGATAACCTGCTGTTCTTCCCCAGATTTCCTGAGGATGCAGGATATTCCCGAGGAGGTGGAGAACAGCCAGGAGCTGAAGGAGGGCGATGGGGACAGTTAGGGACCCCCACAGCCCCCCCAGCACCTCGTGACCTTCCTCTCCCCCCAGGACACACCAGGATCTGGGTTGGGGGGGTGTTGGGAAAACGGGATGGGGATGCTGCTATTCCCACGGGAGCCTTATGGGAATGGGGGGGTCCGGTTGCCCCCTCCCCTACTCCAGCCCGAGCGGGGGGGAGGACGTGGGTGCCCCCCCCTCCTTCCCGCAGGGATTTATTTATTTATTTGGATGTTTCGGGGTGTGGGAGGCGGCCCCGGGGGGGTGGGGGGGGACAGGCGGGCTCCCCGTGGATTAACTGTAAAGAAAACTAAAGAGAAAAGAGAAAAAAAAAAAAAGAAAAATAAAAAAAAAAATCAGAAAATCGTTCAAATGAAGACTTTGGAGCCAAAATGGGGTCAGGGGGGGTTGGATGGGGCCCCCCTGGGTTTGGGGCGCACCCTCTGGGCGGGACCGTCCCCAGGGCGGGACCAGGGGCGGGGACAGGTGGAGGACGTGGCCCTGCAGCTCCTGCAGTGGCAGAGGGGACACAGGGGGACACACAGGGGGGACACACAGGAGGGACACAGGGGGGTCCAGGAGCTGGGGGAGGACAGGGGGGTCCAGGGATTGGGGGATCCTGGAGGGTCCCGGCCATGAAGAGGATGTTCTCCTGCTCCAGCTCGCAGGTGACGGTGAGTCCCGGGAGGGGGGACAGGATGGGGCAGGGGGGACCCCCAGACTCCACACCCCATACCCAGCTACAATCCCAATCCCGATCCCCTCTCTGATCCCAGCACACTGACAGCTGCAATCCCAAAACCAACCCCAATGGCAGCCCTGATGCTGCCCCATTGCTGACCCCAGTCCAGCTCCGATGCCAGCCCTGATCCCAACCCCAATTCCAGCTGTTGTCCCCATCCCAACCCCAATTCCAGCTGTTGTCCCCATCCCAGCCCCAATTCCAGCTGCGGTTCCAATCCCAGCCCTCGCGCTGATCCCGATCCCAACTGCGGTTCCAATCCCAGTCTCGATCCTGATCCCAATCCAGCTGCCAGCCCTGGCCCCACTGCAGGTCCCACAGCCCATCCCAGTCCCTGTTCCCAATCCCAGTCCCTGTTCCTGGTCCCAGTCCCTGTTCCCAGTGCCGGTGCCCTGCTGGAGCCCGGCCCTGCTGGGTGGCACTCGCCAAACCGGCCGGGCGGGCACAGGCTGGGACACGCTCTGGGCCCTCCTGCCCTGCCTGGCTCCCCAGGGATCTGGGATCCCCCAGGAGCCCCTCTGGGATCCCCCAGGAGCCCCCCAGGAATCCGGGATCCCCCAGGAGCCCCCCAGGGATCCAGGATCCCCCAGGAGCCCCCCAGGAATCCGGGATCCCCCAGGAGCCCCCCAGGGATCTGGAATCCCCCAGGGAGCCCCCCAGGAGCAGGGAAACTGAGGCAGGGGGTGCTTGTGGGGGAACACCACTCAGGGGGGTCCCATCCCGGGATGGGGATCCTGTCCTGGATTTGGGGTCCTGTCATTGGTTTGGGGTCTCATCCCAGGGTGGGGGTCCAATCCTTGGGTCTGGGGTCCCACCCGGATTTGGGGTCCCACCTGGATTTGGGGTCCCACCCAGATTTGGGGTCCCACTCGGATTTGGGGTCCCACTCAGATTTGGGTTCCCATCCTGGATTTGGGTTCCCACCCGGATTTGGGGTCCCACTCGGATTTGGGGTCCCATCCCGGATTTGGGGTCCCATTCCGGATTTGGGTTCCCATCTTGGATTTGGGTTCCCATCCCAGATTTGGGTTCCCACCTGGATTTGGGGTCCCACCCAGATTTGGGGTCCCACTCGGATTTGGGGTCCCACTCAGATTTGGGTTCCCATCCTGGATTTGGGTTCCCACCCGGATTTGGGGTCCCATCCCGGATTTGGGGTCCCATCCCAGATTTGGGTTCCCACCCAGATTTGGGTTCCCACCTGGATTTGGGGTCCCATCCCGGATTTGGGTCCCCCAGGTGGAGCGCTGGACGCGGCAGGACCAGAAGCTGCTGGAGGCGGTGGCCCGGGGGGACGTGGCCCGGGTGGCCGCGCTGGCCGCCCGCAGGAGCGCCCGGCCCGCCAAGCTCAACGCCGGGGGACAGTCCGCGTATGTCCCCGGGGGGACACGGGGCCGGGGGGGGGGACACGGGTCACGGCCACCTCCTGCCCCCTCCCCTCCCCCCAGGCTCCACGTGGCCGCGGCCGGGGGTCTCACCGAGTGCCTGACGCTGCTGCTGCACCACGGCGCGCCCGTCGACCAGAGGGACGATGATGGTAGGTGGGGACACCACGGGGACATGTGGGGACACCATAGGGACACTCTGGGGACACCCCAGGGACACACAGCACCCACCCCGGTCCCACAGGCAGCACCGCCCTGCACTTGGCCACCATCGCCTGCCAACCCCAGTGTGTGAAGGTGCTGCTG